TTCTGCTGAAATTCCAGCATTTTTTGTTGTAAATTGACTTTCAAATCACTAGAATTTTCTAGCATTTTTGTTGTAACTCCTTAGAATTTTCTAGCATTTTCTGTTGTAACTCGTTAGTATTTTCTAGAATGTTTTGTTTTAAATCACCTTTCAAATTCATTTTTTCGTTTAAATTTTGCAACATTAAATGCATATTACACGGCCCTTCAAATAAATACGTATCTGGATTTTTACCTTCCTGCTCCAACGCTTCTCAAAGCCGCTGCTGCAACACATTCTTTTTTCCAGTTGTTTCACATTCCCTTTCTTCCAGCTCTCGCTTAAGGTACGCCCATTAACGAAACCATTTTCTCGAAATTTCACAATAATCCCACTTCTGACACCAATTGTAAAAATGTTACTGTTCGCAGTGTGAATTAAAACGCGCACTGGTTTATTAACGAACTAAACGATTTATTTTATAACTTTTAAGTTATAAATTACACTTAAAACACTAAGAAACTATAAAACTAACTAAACACTTAACTACTAATTATTTATATTTCACTACTACACTTAACTACCAATTATTTATATATCACTACTGTACAAGAGTCTATTTATTTGCACTTATATTTTATTTATTTCTTCGCGAGTACCAAAGCTCAACTAACTGATCCATGCTGCGCTGTTCCTTATACAAGGTGTCCCTAAACTTAGTGGCATAAATTTAGGAGCAGATTAAGCAAGTCAAAATAAGACGAAAATCTAAATAAATATTTTTCCTAATTACGTATGTTTAAAAGATACAGGGTGATAAAGTGTTACTTATCATATCAGTTTTTTTAATATAACTTCTACTATGGTAGACTTGGAAAGGTGATATTTTGCGAACAGTCACTTACTACCAAAACACATATTCACACATAATTACAATTGTTTAAGTGAACACAGTGTCGTAGAAACAGGGGTTGCTTAATCATATTGTCCCATACAAACTTTGAGGTTAGGTTTTTATACCATTTGATGCAATTTTTCGATTACTCTGTTCGGCTACTATTAAAAAGGTGTACCTCTCAAACTTCGATAAAATTAACCGTTCTCGAGATATTCGAGATTACAATAATTGTTATATCGCATTAAAGGACTAAAAGTTATATGATAAAAAAAAATTAATTGACAAAACTACATTATAACCTTTATATACCTTTTAATCCTTTGAAATAATGCGATAAAACAATTTGAAATAATGCGATAAAACAATTATTGTAATCTCAAATATCTCGGAAACGGTTTATTTTATCGAAGTTTGAGAGGTAAACCTTTTTAATGGTAGCCGAACTGTTTAATCGATAAATTGCATCAAATGTTACAAAAACCTAACCTCAAAGTTTGTATGGGACAATAAGCTTAAAGCAACCCCCGTTTCTACGACACTGTGTTCACTCAAACAATTGTAATTATGTGTGAATATGTGTTTTGGTAGTAAGTTACTGTTCGCAAAATATCACCTTTCCAAGTCTACCATAGTAGAAGTTATATTAAAAAAACTGATATGATAAGTAACACTTTATCACCCTGTAACTTTTAACCATATGTAATTAGGAAAAATATTTATTTAGATTTTCGTCTTATTTTGACTTGCTTAATCTGCTCTTAAATTTATGCCACTAAGTTTAGGGACACCTTGTATATTCAGTGCCTACGTGACACCAGTCACGCAAGCGCCTTCCCGAATATTCCAGCGTGCTCCGGACCGCTCTCGATCGCTCGAGCGTTGACTCACCGTCGATGAGTCATCATTCCGAGATCCAGGGGGGTACTCGCTACAATACAAAATACTTTCGAAAAAGTAACGTAATTTAATAGTGTTTGGAGAGTGCTTACTTCATGTATCTAAAACTTAAAGTTTTAGATATATATGGCTTACTTTGGTATTTACAATCGAAATATTTTTCTTATTATTAAAACCGTTTACACAAAATAGGTTAGATTCTCCCAAAATATATTTCGTATTATCCAACCTATAGGTTGGATAATACGAAATAACCTTGAAATAACGTAATTTAATTTAAAAGATAAAAGTTGGCCAACTATTAAATTAAGTCTTACATTACATCACTGTATTCATACGTTACAAAGGATTGTTGGGTTTTTAAGTTTTATGTTAAATTAAATTAAATTACTGTTCTGTTAGAACCAGGCTTAAATGTTTCCTCAATATCACAAAAATATCTGGGAATATTTTTAAAATATTTAAATTAAAAATGTTGTTGTAAACATATTATGTTGCTTTTATATTTAAAAAAGACGAGTGACACCAGATACTTTTTGGGTACCTACTGAATTTTCTTGTTTTTGAGTTCAAAAAGGTATTCTCATATTAGATGTACAGCATATTTATATGATATGAGTAGTAAATGAGTATATTTATACTAAAACAGTGAAATACATACTATAGCTGGAGATCTATTTTTTGCACGCTAAAAATACAAGAAAATTTAGATAAACGGGTGGTTTTCAGTATCTTTTAAGATTCTGAGTTAATTTTGAAAAAAAAAATCGGATTTAGTTCAACTGACTCTTTTAGGTAACTTGGTCAAATATGCCAGCATGATGAAGAAAGTGCTTTATGTGGATAAAAATAAAACTTTGAAGGGTTTTAAATAAAAAATAAAACAAATTTTTAACATGACCGTAACATACTTTTTTTTCATGTGATTTCACACATTTTTATTTGCTCAAAATTAAAAGTATACCCCCGGTAAACAACCGACAACAAAACGCTTTATATCTCAACAAATATCAATCTTAGCGATTCAACTGATAGGACCTTTTTTAAAGAAAATTAAATTTTCTACAAGTTTGTCCATTTTTAAATATCTTCAAAAGTATGAGAATTTTTCACTAAAATAAGATTTAGTGACCCGTACCATCCTACAGGTGCAGATTACAGCTATGGCACATAAAGCATTATTGTAGAACTTTTGATTACGTGTAATTCTCTTTTTGAAACAATCCAATAGCATTAAATGCGGCTAAGATATAGATATTTAAAAAAGCAAATCAAAGTTTACGTGTATTTTAAATGGGAAATCTTTATACGCTTTGGTAGAGTACTTTGAGTTAATATAAAGGGCTCAAATTTTCAGGGAATTTTTTTTAACATTTTGGGAGTTGGGAGCGAAAAAATAAAAATAGTCGTGAAAAAAAAGCACCCTAATATATATATATATATATATATATATATATGTATATACATATATAGGAAGGATATCTTTCCTTGGAGTTTTTTTCCAAGTAAAATCCTAAATCTTTTCTCTATAGTTTGGTTATATCGTTTTTATTCTTCTAGTTTTTTTTTAGCATTTTTTGTATCGAAAGGACTTGGTGCCCTTAATGCCAACAAAATGGTCAGAAGTAGTAAACTTGCTTTTAAATGGGATATACGGAGGACGCGCACAGTTTTCCGTCCATCCACTTTTTTCACAAACTTACGGGCAGCAGAAAAAAATGCGGCGAAATTAGAAGTATTTTTAATTCCTAATTTTCGTTTCACTTTCATGCCTCTGGTGCTAGCCAAGCAAGTTGCTTTCCCACCCAATTTTGAGTCTTTAGATTTCACCTTTTTCCAAGATTTGAACTGCCAAACTTTTATTTTTCGAAAATAAGCAAAAATCGTGATCTTCACACGAAGCGTCTTATTAGACCTATTGGTTTGTACCAGCATCACTAGGATGTTCATTTTAGAGCGACATTTTTTTCAAGGTCCCACCTGAAAATCTAACCGGTCAGAAAACAAAAATTTTGAGCTATTATTAGAAGAAAAGAATAAAACATTGTTTTTTAATGGTTTTTAAAAGTAAATATAATCAATCAATAATAAGCATCACCCATATTAATTCTATTGTCTAATTTGGTACCTGCTTTATATTTATCTCCCAAACTTTTTTTTCGAATAAGCAAAATCGTGATTATCACAGGGAGCGTCTAATACCAGCATCACTTATCTTAATTATACTGTCTAATTTGGTACCTGGCCCGCAGTACAGGTATGTGGGTATGTGTAGCTCGAAATGCAGGGTTTTAATAACTGAATTTAATAGACCTCATCACATCACCCTTCGTTTGCTTATTATTAATTTTTTTTTTTACTTTTTAGCACTTATATGCTATCTGGGTGTGTCATTTTTTCACATACTTCATATACCGCTTTTTGCCTATATTTTGTATAGGGCTCAAAATTTCCCAAGTGTGCCACTTAAAAATTGATGGTCTCATCTTTCATCGATTTAGGGGTAAAACAAATTTCCTAAAATATTAAAAAAAAATGGATTTTTACAATACTTATTAATAATTACACTTTTTGTGGATGTTTCAAAAATATACTTTACGATAAAAAATTTGTTGTTAAAGGCAAACCTTAAAAAAAAACTATTTTTTTTAAAACAATTGAAAATTAATAAAACTTCTCCGCCTGCGAAATTTTTTCACATTTTATCTGGTTTTACAATCCCTTACGAAAATTTTGGTAAAAAAAAGTTATTATTTTGTAATAGGTCACTGCGCTCCGACCTCTAGCGCTGGACGAGCACGATGACTGAGCGCGCGCGTCTGAACGTGCTTGTCCAGCGGAATCCCGGAAGACATTGATTTTTTTAAAGATTCCAATATTGGTGGACAAAAACTTTCTTTTTATTTTTGAAACGTCTTTAAAAATTTGTCTTCTTATGATGAGCTAGAACCCAATTTCTTCACTTAACAATTTTAATATCTTAGGCTTGGTTTTTCAATCTTTAATTAAGTTTGAGTTAGTTTATCTAACAAAGGTAGCATTAATTGTTTATACTAACTGAAACTTAAACTAGTGATTGAAAAACCGACTGAAAAAATCTAATACTTACCCTCTCTTTATTCCTTTACAACATTAACGTATAAGGATAAAAAATAAAATCAAACGACTAAAACAGAAAAAATAAAATTTTATTGAAAATGGAGTTCCTTTATATTCATAAAGGGACTCTAGTTGTAAATAGACAAAAATATTAAGTATACTTAAAATTACTAAATAATTTATAAATATATGAAGCAAATTTAAATACACTAAATAAATAATTGAGGTGAAACCAAGGTGTATTTACTTAAAAAAATACCTACAACTACATGGACGTATATTGCAAAATTTAATTTTACTTGCAATTCCACTTATAATTTTCCAATATATACAAATATATATCTGTTATAAATAGACGAACATTATTTGCCATAGTTTACAAAACCTATTACCTAACATCTACAATAATTTGGCAGAATAAGTTTCACATTAAATAACAAATACAAAATTAATTAAATTTAATATTATTGTAGGCATACTAAATAAAATAAAAATAACACATGCCCAATAATTTTGGACATTACTTGAACAATATTTTTTCCATTATGGAAAAATAAAAGTATTAATTTAACTGTATATACAATTACAAGTCCTTTTTTGTAAAATAAATATTGCTATGAATTTTTCAAGTATTTAAGTAAAACTAATAATTCTACAATATTCACTGAAAATTTTATTTACACCCATTCATTGAATTGCAAATAAAACAAAAATGCATGTGCTATGCACTAGACCTAGAAATGTTTAAAAAAAATTGGTATATTCCTTAAAATCTATCTAAAATTTAACTAAAATCACAATCCATTGACGTTTTTCAGTCAAATCGGGTTTGCAAAATACTTTTTTGATTTGTGAACCAAGTTTTTGTTCCACTGCTACTAATTTTTACATCTAAAACCGAAAATAATACAAACATTTAATTTTAATTCATTATTGCGATTTTACTTTTTCGCACGGTGATTTGGGATTAATCTAGATTATGAAATAATGAAAAGACGAAAGTTCCATTTTGTTGGATAGTGTGTCATGAGCAAGATGAAATTAAGTATAAAATTTAGATGGTTCTTTTTATGAAATAAGATATGTTACATGGACTTAAAACCCTTGTCAATTTCATATTTTCCCAAATAAAATCCCAAATTTTGGACCACCATTGCAAAATATAAAGACACCATTATCTTAATTATATCTCATAAAATCTCAACGTTTAAGTATAACAATTCCCTATTAACTTTTTTGTTTTAGTTCACAAACGTTCGATATTTGCAAACGTTAGAGAGTTTTTTCACTAATTCGGGAGGAAGGACCGTTCCATAAATGCTATTGGACCGGATCCAGCATATCCTTGAGCCGTTTCATCATGTGCGATCCGATGTCTTTTACTTCCGGCCACTGCCTCAATATAAATACAGACGCTAACACTATAGACACAGTCGTCAAAATCCTAACCCTAAAATGAAATACAAAATTTTAAAACCCAAAAATTTTAAATAATATTTCAAAAATTACTCGTTTCTCATCGTCTTTCACAGAGACTCTCCGCTTGTGGTGGCGTATTTGACAAAAGTTGAAAATTGAGTTACGCCGATTTTATACATACTTTTGGACGTTCTTTTGCCTTACGAAGTTTATTCCAAGTATTGGGCTATAGCTGTAGATAGCACTTGCGAGACAAAAAATCGCCAAAAAGTATGAAAAACTGGCGTAACTTAACTCCCCAAGTTTTGTCAGATACGTATAACACTAGGGAGCATTCAAGTATTACGTAACGCGCTATGCGGGGTCCAAAAATAGGGGGAGTGGGGTCTAAAATTTTGAAAAACTGCGTTATGTAGTACTTGAACGTCCCCCTACGTTCGGATACCGACGTTATGTTTCGTTTTTTTATGCTAGATTAATTAATTTTAAATAAAGGAGATCTTTATAAGTAACTTCTATTCTAGTCATCGGAAAAAATATAGATTCCTTTAATTTTTTTAACGATATTGCTTTGCTTAGGAAATTATTAAAGTTTTTTAATCACTTCTTAAAGTGTCTTAAGCAATTTTATCAAAATTATTATTATAGAAGCTAAATATTGATATAAAGGTCGTGGGCCTCTTAACGTGTCAAGCCGCTAGCGTCGCTGCAATCCACGTAAATTAACAATTCAATGTATCAAACTCACATTTTTGTGGAAAAAAAGGCATAAGTCAAAAAAATCTATTTTTCAGTAAAGCCTTAAACGATTTCCCATCAATTAAGGAAATATATTTACAGTTAGCGGGTATTCGCATTTGCTAGCATGACATGTGGTGACAAAAGAGTATACCCACTAACCATAAATATATTTTCTGAATTATTGGGAATATCTACTAAAAAATTGCTTTTTTGACTTATCCCGGTTATTATTTAAGTAAATAATATTTTGTAAAAATCGACCTATTTTGATTTTCTATTTCTATTTTCTACAGTTGCTGTATAGTTATGGGACCAATCCTGTATACTAATATGCCAGTGACTTGAGCCCATCGCAGACCAAACATTAAACGCAATTCTTAAGCTCTTTTAAATAAAGAATTTTATAATTAACGGTGTCGAATTAAAATAATAATAATTAAATAAAGGGTTTGTTGCCAGATCCGTGCTATTTAAGATCAAAAATTGATTTAATTTTATTTTATATAGTATGGTATTCAAAAGTTAGTTGAAAAATTGAAAACTTCAATTTAAAAAAACCTTTAAATTTTTTACCAACGAATCCACCGTTACATTTTTTTCCAAACCTCTATGTTAAGATTTTTTTCTCTGATGTTACAGCACTTATTTATAGGAGAGCTGGCAGCCACTTTGACTTACGTGTTATATATAAGGATATAACTTAATGTTCTTTATTTAATACTAGTAATGTAAAATCATGACCAGGTAGGGTTGGCGTGGGTGCATCATTACCCACCAAAATTTTAGATACGCAATTTAAATTCTCGGTGTAGTGTCGATCGCAAAAATGTGGAGACGATCATTGAACACCAACAGTTAATTTTGGTTAAGTAAAATGTGTTAAAAATTGCATACCATACCAAACAAAGTCCCTGAGTCAAATTTTATGTTTTAGGACTATATATACAAGGTGTCCCTAAACTTATTGGCATAAATTTAGGAAAAGATTGAGCAAGTCAAAATAAGACGAAAACCCAAATGAATATTTTTCCTAATTACTTATGTTTCCAAGATACAGGGTGATAAAGTGTTACTTATCAAATCAGTTTTTTTAATATAGCTTCTACTATGGTAGTCTTGGAAAGGTGATATTTTGCGAACAGTCACTTACTACCAAAACACATATTCACACATAATTATAATTGTTTGAGTGAACACAGTGTCGTAGAAACGGGGGTTGCTTTAAGCTTATTGTCCCATACAAACTTTGAGGTTAGTTTTTTATAACATTTGATGCAATTTTTCGATTACCCAGTTCGTGGAGTTCGATTTTATCCTCGGTGAGAAGCGCATCGCTCGTGCATTGCTCCATGAAAAGTGTGAAATATAGTTGACTTTGACTCAGGGAGGACAAAATCGGATTCCAGTCCTAGATAATATTCCTCGTTTTGTCCTTTTTTAAAGGAATAGAGGAATTTATATGAACATATAAATTTCAAGGTTATATAACCTATTTGTGTCCACGTGTTCGTTAGAAAACCGTTGTCCAATGGTCTTTGGTTCTTCGGAAATCATTGGACGTTAAAACTAGTAACTGGGCAGTAAGAGCCTAATCGGCTCAGGTCCAATTCTCTCGAAAGAGAGAATAAAAAGTATAGAAGAAGATTACCCAGTTCGTCTACCATTAAAAAGGTGTACCTCTCAAACTTCGATAAAATAAACCGTTTCCGAGATATTCGAGATTACAATAATTCTTATATCGCATTATTTAATAGGATTAAAAGGTATATGATAACAAATTTTATTTTTTAATTGAAAAAACTAAAAAGGGCATTCCATGCGCCTCGGGTCTTTTGCCCCTTTTGCCTTTGTTATCATATACCTTTTAGTCCTTTAATGTGATATAACAATTATTGTAATCTCGAATATTTCGGAAACGGTTAATTTTATCGAAGTTTGAGAGGTACGCCTTTTTAATAGTAGCCGAACTGAGTAATCGAAAAATTGCATCAAATGGTATAAAAACCTAACCTCAAAGTTTGTATGGGACAATAAGCTTAAGCAACCCCCTGTTTCTACGACACTGTGTTCACTCAAACAATTATAATTATGTGTTTTGGTAGTAAGTAACTGTTCGCAAAATATCACCTTTCCAAGACTACCATAGTAGAAGCTATATTAAAAAAACTGATTTGATAAGTAACACTTTATCAACCTGTATATTTTAAACATACGTAATTAGGAAAAATATTTATTTAGATTTTCGTCTTATTTTGACTTTCTTAATCTGCTCCTAAATTTATGCCACTAAGTTTAGGGACACCTTATATATTTGTAACTATTATATACAAGGATAAAAACAATTTCACAATGAAGTTTCGAAAAGAGTTAAAAATTTGGTAATAATATAAATTGTTTGACAGAAGCATCTCTGTTATGGAATACTCATAGTAGTAAATAAACAAAAACTAATAAAACCAGTAAACTTTATTTTTAACATCTACTTTTATATGTAGCCTTTTTAGTTTTATTCAATTTTAGAGGGTCAAAATATAAACAAACTAATTTTTCCTAACTTTGGTGCCCTATATCTTTTTAGGAACTAACTACAAAAAGTTTTGCCTATATATAAATATGTTGGAAATTTTTGTATAAGCAATAAAAAACGGGATATAACGATTCAAAACTTTTTTAGAAAAAAGGGAAAAAGCACTGGAGGGGGATCACAGGGATATGATATTTTACGCTTTAGACCTCCAGGAACAACAAATCCAAAATCCAGTAAATTTGGAATTTTTTTGATCTACGCCTTGATTTTTTGACAGATTGAGTGTACAATATGACTTTTTATTAGGGTTTTAAAGTGGCAAAAAAATTGGGAAAAATTGTCTTTTTTGGAATACATTTTTTTTGTAAAATATACACATTTTAATAATAATTATTACAGAAAAAAAACTAAACATTGAATTGAGAAAATAAACGTAAACGTTAAAAAAACTGTCGATTGTCTTTTGCAAAAGTCCATTGAAAATATCCAAATACAAAATAACAAATAATGATTTATAAGCAAACATACATTTTACTACAGGAAAATGATGATGATCAAACAAAGTAAACAAATTAATAAAATTCGCATGCAAATATTTAAATAAAAAACTATTTACTAGACGTCAGTCTAGGTTTATTTTCATTACAAATAAAATAAAAACCACTCCTTAAAATAACACTTATTAATAGAAGTACCCAATTTGCAATACAGTTAATTTGTCCTTATTAAAGAAAACTAATGTTTTTTTACCTATCATGTTTTTGTCCTGGAAAAAATTGCTGATCTACTGGCACTTATCGAAAACTTTTCCGTCCCATCCACAATTTCTGTAACCGTTACAGTTCTATTGCTTTCCCTGGTTTAACAGATAAATAAATAATGAAATGACAACCTAATTTACGATTTTACTTTAAAATTATTTTAAACCAAGACTGACATTAGTAATTAGCCATGTGAATGTATTGAATTTGTTAAGTGCATTTGTGATACAGCAATAATTTTAATCAAGGACTTGACAACAAAGAATATGATGATTTTATTTTCAAATACTTTCACAAAACTAATGATGAATGATAAAAAGCAACTGGTTAGAAATGACGGAAGAAAACAATAAAATAAATAAAATGTTACCTTGTCCGAAGAAAGGGCATTATGATTCCCGCTCCGGTGGCCACTAACAATAAAACTACTTGCAGGACAGTCAATAGGACGTTTATGAGCTTGACAACCAAAGCTCTTGCGTTCGAATTGTCCAGACCTTCCAGCGTAACGTACTGTTGCTGCTGAAGGGCTTGGTGTTCCATTTTTTGAATCTAAAAATAGGTTTTTAAAGAAATTGCGACTTTGAGATAAATTGTTCTTTCTTACTTTAGTCTGACAATGTTCTAACATCTCGTGTATGTCTCGCAACCGTTCTTCACTTTGGTATTGCACCTTTTCTTCCATGTCCGCCATTGCTTGTTTCAAATTTTCCACTTCGTTTTGGTGAAGTTCCGTCAAATCGTTTACCTGCTCTTCCAACGACTCCCTTCTAAACTTTTCCTCCTGAAAAAAAAAAATATATTAAAACAATAAATTAGTTTCTATTTAACACCCGCACGAAAATTCGTGAAGTGAGAATGGGGTTTTCACCCTCATAATAAAACTATTTTACATTAAGTACTGGGTTGCCCTATAATATTCCACGAATATTTTATTGATTATTCCACTCATTACTTTATGGACCAATTAGCTTTCAAAAACCGAGTGTTTTTTCAGTTTTGCAGCGATAAAACTACTATTTAGGTGAAAAAAACACTCGTTTATAGAGGTTTAAACGTAGCATTTTAAATTTAAAAAAATTAAACAAATGAACATTCAACTTTGTTCTACACACGTTATCTGAATTTTCTTTCAAGAATATAAAAATTCAAAACTTTGATAAGCAAGATGTAATAAAAAAAATGTGATTGTTATTGTGTAAAACATAAATTAATTTTTTTTAGCGCGGTGTGCGCGGCAACGCATTAAAACGACCCCGCTTTAATACGGATCGCATTTTTTAATTATTCTGAAGTTAACAATAATAGCAAACAATACCAAACTCTGTATTTACGTTGAGTTTAGAAAAAAACTTACGTTTGAACGTTTTTGTGATGTACGGAAATCGCTAAAAACAGACAAAAGAGGAAGCTGTTATCCTAGAACAAATTTTAAATATATATACTTCAAAAAAGAAAATTGCAGATTTAATATGGCGGATATTTTTTCTTAAAACTTCTTTTTTTACTAAAATTCTAAAATGCATGGGTGTTTTGGGACGTTAAAAATGATTTTGAGGTTTTACAAAAATTTCCACAAAACGAACAGATGCCATATGGTGGATAGTTTTTATAAGAACTCTTTTTATATTGACTAAAATTAGTGATGGAATTTTGTTATGGCTTTTTCTAAAATTTTTTTTATTAAATTAAGTTATATTTTCATTGTTATTAATATATTATTTATCCGACATACATGTTATATTATCACTTTTATCTATCATGTTTTTTAAACTAATAAAATAACAAAAATGAACATTTACAGTGTTATACTGCCATACTCTATATAATAAGCCAATAATTTTTTTGCAATATTGACCTTTAATTCGTTACCAGCGACCCGTAAAATCCCTATATTTAAAATTTGAAGTCAGCTTCCCCTTTTGTCTGTTTTTTAGCGATTTCCGTACATCACAAAAACGTTTTAAACGTAAGTTTTTGTCTAAACTCAACGTAAATACAGAGTTTGGTATTGTTTGCTATTATAGTTAACTTCAGCACGATTAAAAAATGCGCTCCGTATTAAAGCGGGGTCGTTTTAACGCGTTGCCGTGCTTACACCGCGCTAAAAAAAATAATTTTTGTTTTACATTCTTATATTCTTAAAAAAAAATCAGATAATGTGTGTAGAACAAAGTTGAATGTTTTTTTTTTATTAAAATTCTAATTAATCGTTTGTAAGTAATTATTTTTTTTTAATTAGAAGGAAAATAATTTTCTAATATACCCTGTATAAATACAAATTGAATTTTCAATAAAATGTTTGTGGAATATTATTAGCCAACCCAGTACTTAATGAAAAATACGTTTTACTGATTTTTATTACAATGATGAAAACCCCATGCTAACTTTGCGAATTTTGACTATAGGATATGATATATTTCGTGGTCCTGCTGAGAGTGGGCGAAATAATTGTTTCCTAATTTCAACCCAGGTTGAAGTTAAAATTGAAAAAAGTGAGGTTAAAACTGCTTGAAAGTTGTCAGATGTGAGATAAAATATCAAATACAATTGGCATTACATTTTGCACATCCAGTTCAAGAACACTGTAACTCAAAAATCAACAGTTTTGAGTTATTGTGGTTTTTAAATACTTAATTATACATATATTGAACTAAAATATCTGTGTGGTCCAAGTGCACACTCACCATATAAAAATATATGGTGCTTAAATTATTCTAATTTATCTTAATGTTGTGTGCAAGACCAATGCAATTTTATTTAAGTTGAAATTAGGTTTTATATTTTTTAATAAATATTATTTTGGGTATTTATTTGTTTAATTAAAATACATTATATTACCAAAAATCTGTTTTATTTAGTTTAACAAAAAAAAGTCAAAATGCCATAAACCTTATTAATGCAACATAATTAGAAAATATGAGACCAATTTTTAGTGCAATACCAACATATTTTTTTAAATAATGAAATAAAATCTTCCTAAAAAATATAGACGTTTACAAAATATACTGATTAAAAACCATTGGATTTACCAAAAGGGCGTTATTGCCGTACTTACTTTCTTCAATAAATTCCTTTAACCTTTGCAAAACTTTAAACTGGATTATCTCATTTCAATGTTTTTTGAGTTACGGTGGTCTTGAACTGGGTGTGCGATTTCTTGCAGTAGTTAAATAAAATACTGTATGCGGCTATTGGTCAAAAGAGAAGATTCCACTCGCGTGTAACTCCACGCTCGAGGAATCTTCCCTTTCTTCCACTAGTCGCACAATATACCATTATTTTATTTAATAAAAATACTATGTTTACATAAATAAACAAAACTCTGTTTTTGTAATAGGTATGACAACTAAGTCACTCTAGCATTGGAGCTTTAACATTTAAGATTTTGTATAATTTTATGTCTAAATTCATTAAATTCCCCTCAAAACGCCATTCATACAAAATGTGTGTGAAGTGTTGCTGTTAACGTCTAAATGATCTAGATCGTCGACACATTTCTATAAGGTTTAAAACTAAATTAAGTGTATTTGCTTCAGTAAAAAAAAAATATGTTTTAATGTCAAAAGTCAATAGATAACGTGTTTTGTTACAGAAAATATTAGTTAATGTAAATTAAAAGAGTTCATTACACGCGGGTAAAAACCTATTTTCCGCACTACTAATAAAATATACAGTTACATACTTGTAGAGCGACGTTTAGAAGGTTGAGTTCGTGTTCGCAGGTATGCATGTTTTCCAGTTTGGATTTTAAGTTTTCCAGTTTTCCCTTAAGGCTGTCTATTTCTAGTTGCTTAATGTGTAATTGACTGTAAACGGTTTTAAATTGAGCATCTTGGGTCCCACTTTCAGCCGGTCGGTACCTGTAACATAAGACCACAAAAACAATCAAACAAACAAACCTAGCTGTGACAAGAGTCGAAGTTTACATGCAATCGCGCTTAGCGCCGCCATTGTAACGCAGAAGCCGCATCGCGTCTACAAATACGGGACTACTGCTGTTGGCAGTTAAATTTTCTGATTGGATCTTGTCCAGAAATAGGAACAAAATTTAGACTTGCCAACTGGCCTCAAATGATAACAAGCTTTATTACATACACTGAATCAAAAGTTACAAAACTCGCAATCAAAGTTATCGCCTAATTTTTATGCATTATGTTTTTGAATTAGGATTAGGATTTATACGATTTATAGCAATTTTATTAGTCCAATGTTACATTAAGTTCTACGCAGCATTGTAAATCATACATTCACAAAAGCATTCTAATAGTTATTTACGTGTCAAGCTTTGTAAAATAATCTTTACGGGCGAGTTGAAAGTTTCCAGTGAGCATAGTAAAGAATAATTGCAAAGCATGTAACGTACAAACTTTTATTTTCATCTTCATATGGCAATTTTCAAATTGAAAATAACATTTTATAGGTTAATTTTGTTGTTTTTGTAACGATAAATATGGAGCAAACATGCAAAAGCCGATAAATCCATTTTAACTTATTCTGAGGTATTGGCCAAAAATGTGTACAGCCGAGTCCCCCAAATATTTAAAAACTATTAAAAGGGAAGGTTGCTCCTGTTGGGTTGTCTCTGTTTTGATTTTTCCTTAAAATGCTGTGCCAAGTCAAAAGAGTTTACCAAAATAAGTAAGAATCGGTACCAGAGTTGGGAGTACTGAGTATTTTTTTTAATGGATTATGCTATCATTACTAATTATTACTTGATTTTATAATTGTAATGAGAGAAAAATATTGAGTACTTTTTATTTTTACTTTACCAATTTGATAATTACAATTCTTTTTTTATTTTGTAATTATAATCAGAGAAAATATCAAGTACTTTTTATTTTAACTTAAAATGTTTACTGATTCTAAATATTTTTTTATTTTTACTTTACCAATTTGATAATTACAATTTTTTTTTTATTTTGTAATTATAACACAGTACGACAAAATTTGATTTTTGGTCCCTCCCATGAAAAATTTCTACAGATTCTAAAAATAGAGTTAAAAAAATGATACCCGTGTCTCGGCGTTTTTTCACATCACGTCATAATTTTTTTTAAGGGCTATCCAATAAAATGTTATTCACACTATTCGCAACATAATTTAATAGACTCGATAACAGCTGGACTGCATAGTTAAAAATATATATATTTTAGGGGTGTGCGAATAGCGTTCGAATCGAATCGAATCGAATAGTACTATTCGATTCGAAATTCGAATCGAATAATTCGAATTTACGAATTATTCGAAAAATTCGAATTATTCGAAAATTTTCGAATAATTCGAAAATTTTTCGAATAATTCAAAAATTTACGAATGATCCGTGAATGGATGAATAATTTAAAAAATTTCGAACCCATCGTCAATTTTTTTGATATTTTTCGAATTTTGAGATGTTCAAACTTTGAACATCTCAAAATTCGAAAAATATCAAAAAAATTGACGATGGGTTCGAAAATTTTTAAATTATTCATCCATTCACGGATCATTCGTAAATTTTTGAATTATTCGAAAAATTTTCGAATTATTCGAAAATTTTCGAATAATTCGTGGATTTTTCGAATGATTCGAAACTTTCGAATAATTCGCTAATTCGAATTATTCGATTCGAATTTCGAATCGAATAATAATATTCGATTCGATACGAATTATTCGTAAATTCGAATTATTCGCACACCCCTATATATATATATATATATATATATATTATATTTACTAAATGGATAGGCAACCATTATAGATGCATTTTAAAATTATTTTAATCTTATACAGAGTTTTGCACATTTATATACAGGGTGTCCCAGAACTCGCGCCACATAGAAAACCGGAACGTGCCGAAAGTAACGTGAAACACATATTTGAAAATTAAAATTGTCTAACGCAAAGGATAAGCGAAATATATCTTATATTATATTCTTATAAGAATAAAAAACGATAGCCAATCCCAATAGATGGCCATAGGGAATTCTTTAAATTGCTAGGATACTTAGGTTGCATTGTTGATAATAAAAAATATGTAAAATATTTGGTCCACTGGAATCCAATTCATTGTGACACTGCTGTCAAACTCCTGTCATTAATATTATATTAGGTTATAAATTAAGTTATTATAAATAATGTTTTCTTTAGATGATTATACTGAAATGATAATTATTTATTTATTTAGTGTGGGCATTCGATTACACTATTACCTAAAAATTTTTTATTTTTAAATTTGGCATCTCCATTGCTATCGGCACGCCCCCTTTTTCTCTGTGGCGCGAGATCTGGGACACCCTGTATATATCAAACGGTTTATTTTTAAACCAAGTAACAAAATGTTTCAATTTTAAGCCAATCAAAATGCTTTAAAGTCGGGTGATTACAATTTTTATTTATTCAATTTTTTGTAAAAATTGAGCTTTGTTGAATTAACATTTAAAAAAAAAATTAAAAGATATTTAAATGAATTGATTTAAGTCTTAAAGCAAGTGTACCTAACATATTTAATTTAAAAAAAACATATTAAATGTAAAAAAAGTATTTAAGTATACGAAGTCAATTGAAACAGCAAAAAAACAAAAAATTTACACATCTGCGGCATTTATACATAAAAAGCATTGTTTTCAATCCAATCTTTATACGAGGGTAATACTTTTTTTTTTAATGTTAAATAAAAACATTATTGCAGCGATAAATCGATAAATTTTTCATATTAATTTTGATTGTTGAGTTAACCATCCATTTGAAATCAAAGTAAAAATGCAGTGTCCGAATCGAAATAATTTTTGTTATGTATGAGGTTTATTTGCACCTCCAAGGCATATGCGAAATATTACAAAAAGTGTAGTAACAGCTTTTGAAGACTATTTTTTGGTGACGTATATACCAAACTTATGGTATGTACCAGAGGTTTTATGCGATTATTGTTACCGTTGTTTGCATGGATTGAAAGATAAAACACACAGTATGAAATATGTTGCACCAACAATTTGGCTTCGACCCGTCGCGACGTACCGAAGACGCATCTGACCAGTGTTATTTCTGCATGTCAAAATTAAAAAGTTTTGGATTTCGGTACAATTCTAGAGAGAAAATTGATTACGCCGATGTAGAATCCGTCATTCTCGCAAGAGTGCGATCTGAAGATTATCTAACTGCTCCTTCAGAAAACATATGTGAGGATAAAAGTAAAAGACCTTTAACACCCAGTACAACCATTTTTTCCGAGATGGAATCTGAATTTATTCCCTGTAGTTCGGGTTATAAAGTACATTTTATAACACAGGACATGAAAGAACATATGTCACTGAAAATACATTTTCTCCATGCTCATTTGGACTATTTTCCACCAAATTTGGGCGATTTTAGTGACGAACATGGCGAACGTTTTCACCAAGACATTTTAACAATTGAAAAACGCTTCAAGGGAAAAGACGTCAGGCATTTGCTGGGTGAATATTGCTGGTCAATTGTTCGAGATTCTGAAGCAATATACAGCCTGTTCAGAATAAAACCGAATATATCTATATATATATGGGGCGTGGCCTTGCCTCCCTCCAAGGCGCGTCACAGTTGCTTGTGTGATAAACGACATGACGAAAGGTCGAGCAGGTAAGGACTTAAAAAATTAAAAGATAATAATGCAAAAAATCTCATTAGCGATGCAGTCTAATTGCTTAGCTCATGTGTCGCGCGTTGGAGGGAGGCGAGGCCACGCCCCATATATATATATATAGATATATTCGGTTTTAGTCTGAACGAGCTGTATAATCGTCAAACTAAACGACCAAGATTTTATTCCAACATGTATTGAATATAAGATAAATACAAAAATGTGTTTCATTAAAAAAAAAATAAAAACAAATTATTTAAAAAAAATCAAAATATAAACTTTTTTATATTTGTTTTTTGTATTGTGTAAAAACATACAATATTTACAAAAAAATATATTTTTAACCGAGTAAAAAATGTACAATCTGTATAAGCATAAATAATAGGAATGACGGCTTAAAATTTTTTTATGACGTGATCTCGTGAAACTGTGAGACACGGGTACGTTTTTTTTACCTCTATTTTCAAAATCTGCTAAAATTTTTCATGGGAGGGAAATCGTGTTGTACTGTGTAATCAGAGAAAATATCAAGTACTTTTTATTTTAACTTAAAATGTTTACTAATTCTAAATATTTTTTTATTTTATAATTAAAAAATAATAAAGAACAGAATACATTATATTTTTTTTGATTTGATTAGAATGGTGAATAAGGATACTCCGTGCTTGTTTATGTTTTTATTGCGACTAGTTTATCATCTTCAGGCAAACTACAAAAATATGTAAAATTATTATAAGGTTATGTTAACATAATAATGATAAAATTAACGCCGTGTCTAGAGTCCCGTCAGACGGTTCCCTATTGCGCTCCCGTTAACAGAGTGACGTCATCCAATGACGCAATCTTATGCCGGTTTTCCACCAAACGGACAAAACAAAAACAAAACACAAACTCGTGTCGAATAAAACAAAACTGCAACTTTTTGCAAACTTTTTGAAGACTGGCGTGTTTTGCGACAGTTTGAGTTTTGTTTTTTGAGTCCCGCTGGAAAGCGGTAACATCAATTCCACGGCAGAAAGTTTACGTTTGATGCATTGGTCAAGCTATACGCGCACCCTCTATAATAGCGGGAGTAAAAATTTTTTAGTCGTGTGCACTAGTACTCAACATATGCAACTCTAATATAACCTCAAAATTTGTTTTCAATTTCGATATACACATTTAATTTTTTCCCGTATTTTCGGCCGGGTTGTATTTTCAGCCGAGGTAGTAAGAAAAATAGTATACACTACACGGGCAGAAAGTGTGAGAGCCCTGAACTGCGCGCCATGATGACCTCGGCTTCGCCTCGGGCATCATGGCGCGCAGTGCAGGAATCTCACACTTTCTGCCCTTGTAGAGTAATATACTATATAGAAATACTACAATGTAGTTTTTTAAAATTTTGTAACCTCATTTTTAGGTTAGGTTTAACTGTCAGACGACAAAATGTCACCATTATTGTTCGGCGGTCAATAATAATTTGACTTTTGAACTAGTAGTCACTACATTACTGTACTAGTTCAAAAGTCAAATTATTATTGACCGCCGAACAATAATGGTGAGATTTTGTCGTCTGACAGTTAAACCTAACCTAAAAATGAGGTTACAAAATTTCAAAAAAATATCGAAATTTAGAGCTTGAAAAAAAATAGTATATAAAACACGGCAGTATAAACCAGCCACAACTAAGAATAAGAAAATCTTTTTCTCTAAACATGTTGGTTGATACTGAAAAAGTGTGTTCTGACATAATCACGACAACTAGTGGAAAAGGATCGAAAACAAAAACAAAACTCGAACAAAACTTGGTTTGCTTGATGGAAACAAGAGTTTCGGGTTTGTTTCAGTTTTGTTTTTGATTTGCAAGTTTTTAAAAACACAAACAAAACCCAAACTCAACTGTCCGTTTGGTGGAAAACCGGCTTAAGACACTAAATTTCCTTAGCTAACTCAATTTTAATTTATATATTGAAAAATTACACTAATTTTTTATAGTATAGTATTTATAATTATTAATTAGATTTTGTTTTTTATTTTCAGTCGGTCCCGTTAAAAAATACTTCGTACTTGTATTTTCATTTATATTTTAAGTAGGTACAATCAATTTTTTACTTTGACTTTAAACTTTTTGCATTACGAAGTACGAAAAAATATTATTTATTCAAATTAATAAGTACAATTATTTTTGTATTTTTACTTTAATTCAATTTAGAGTAAAAAATACAATGTATTGATAATTTTTATTTTCTCCATTCTCAAGTACTTAAATATTCTAATGGCAATACTTTTTAAGTACAAATTATTTTTGTATTTTTACTTTAAATCAATTTAGAGTAAAAAATTCAATGTATTGATAATTTTTATTTTCTCCATTCTTAAGTAACTTAAATATTCTAATGGCAATACTTTTTAAGTACAAATCTCGCAACTCTGATCGGTACTATACTCTGTAAATGTAAAAATGGATTTATTGGTTTTTGCATGTTTCCTCCACAAATGTTCTTTACTTACAAAAACAACAAAATTAACCTATAAAATGCATTTACCAAGTAGGTGGAAATAAACTATATTATTTTTATTTTTAAAATAGCGGGCTTTAGCTTTAAGTTAACTTACTCTTCTTCCTTTAAACTAAAAATAACAATATTGGTATTAATATAGAGAAGTACATTGTTAGAAGTTGTAACTTACAACACATTTTTGAAATTGTATCAAATCATTAATTATATCTTTTTTTGAATAAAATAAAAATAATTATAATAATAATAAATTAAGTAATAAATTAATTCATTTTTAACCTCGGAGTTATTATTGTATTAAAATATTCTTTTAGGTATACCATGATAAATGATAAATTTTAATTTAAAAAAAAAGTTTCACATTTGGTATTATTTCTTATCAGGAAAAACCAAAATGGGGAGGACATTTTCAGGTTTTTTGTAAGTTAAGTTATGAATTTGCAAAATAAAATTGTTTTACTTAATATCGTTTTTTTATTTATACAAACATATTTGTCCGTTAATAAATTAACTCTTTAATAAAATTTAAGTTACAACAACATAGTTATTTGGAGCTAAAATTTTTATTGACTTTTGTTTGATTTTTAAAAGAAGCATGGAAATACAATACAATGTCTGAGCTTGATTCGTAAATTAAGGACAAAAGATGCTTCTTTTACAAATTTTTAATGAATGTAGATTATTGCCCACTGTGCAAGTACATTTTGCGTCAGTTGTCGTAGGTCAGGAACAACCAGTGGCTTCCCAAAATTTCTACTTTACTTATACAAATTTTAATGATTTTTTAATAAAAAATGGCAATAATGCAAAAATGATAGAGGTGTGTACTATCATCTTCTTACAGGATGACAACTTATTTGGTGACACCCTATAAATAAATGTACACATAAAAGTGTTTATACCTACATTAATAATAATAATAATGTCTTTATTGATTGTAAAAAACTTATTACAAACAAAAGGCGAAGTTCAGTACCCTACACTAGGTAGTTCACTGCTCTTCCACTTAACCCTATAGTATTACAAAAAACATAATATTAAGGCTGTTAATTTATGAACGTAAATTAAATACTACTAAAACAAAATTATACTGGGAAAAAATTTACAAAGGATATTGTAAATGTAATTGAAATTGAATTAATTATTTTAACTTTATTTAATTACCTTAGTAACATTTAAAAATTAATTTTCTCACCTGACCAGTTTTTGCATTTTAAAGTGAGGTGCCTTTACAATTTTTTACTTTAAAAACAAAGTTCAAGGTGAGACGTTGAAGATAACATAAAAATTAAACACACAATATAATTACCTAGCATTAACTTTTATTAAAAAAAAAACGGAATCCCAAAAAAAATACCTCAAGGTAAATTTCGTACAAACTTACCTGTCGATACTGTCGCTGCTGCACTCGCTGCCTTCGTCGCTGGGAAACTTGGTGGCCTGGTGCTGCCTGCCCATCGAATTCTGCGACGGCGCCATGTGCAGCGTGGCCGGCAACGTCGCCGATCCGTGGTGGTGATGGTGCTTCTCGCCCTGGTCGCTGCCGCCGTTCTGTCCGCTGCCCTCCGATCCCGTCGCTCCGGGCCCTATGTACCACGCTACGGATTATAATCGGGGTGTGTTACAGTGCAGAGTGCGGGAGCCATGCATGTTAGACCGGGGTTGGTTGTTTAGAGATTTAATTTTTATTTGTTTACAGGGGGTTTGGGTGTGGTGGTGGTGATGCAGGTGTTAGCTTGCAGATTATTTTTTATTGTTAATTTGTATATATTTAGAAAAATTGTGTCTAATTAATTGCTCCAAAAGGTGTTAAATACAAAATAAATACACAAGGCCAAAAAACAGAATTGAAGGAGATTTGCTTTAGTGTCAACTTAAAACAATATTGAAAATTAAATAGTTTTAAATACTCTAAATAAAGTTGCATCAAAAACATTCAGGCAATACATAGGATCAAATCAGAGGTCATTGACTAATTTTTTAATATTTCTTTATGCGGATGTTTTGTTAATAAATGATTTTGTTAAAAATCTAAAATTATCTTAATATTATTATACTAAACAAGATTTTTATTTGAAAGTTTAAAATACAATTCTGAATTAAATTATTAGCAATGTTATACAAAATATCGCAATAACACTGGTCGACAAAATTAACTTTTTTGTTTGCCACAGGGGAGCCAACAACTCTTCTAGTGAAATTTGGGTGCGCTAATTCAAAAAATGGCCATCATTTTGCTCAATAAGCCTTTGTTTTAGAGATTTTGGAAAAAGAGCTTTTTTCAATATGCAAACATTTAAATTCGGATTTATTAATTTTTTTTCAACAAATACTTTAACCAAGTAAAAAACCTATTTTTAACAATATAATTTATTTTTTGGCAAAAATTAGATAATTTTTAAAGTTTAGAGTTCAAAGTGCGCAATTGGATAACTTTTAAAATTCAGAGTTCAAAGTGCGCAAACAATTTTTGTCCGATTTTAATAAACTTTATAAAATTGTGTTTTTTTTATTTACTATGTTATGTTAAAATTCAACGCAACCAAATAAAATGGCAAAATGGCACTCAAAACAACCGCGCATGTTTTAATTTATATTTAAGATGAAAATAAATTAAAAAATAAAGTTTTTCCCAAATATCTCGAAAAGAAACCAACCGTCTTTATAAACTAATGAGCTATTACTCGACCCCTCTTTCATTTAAAAATTGTAGTGGTAACCACCACCCCCGCTTAAGGGTTGGTGCAGGGTTGAAAATAGAAAAATAAATTGTCCCAATTAAATTAAAAATATATGTGTAAATTGGGGTGATTAAAATAGAACGAATATTTTTTTTTTACTTCCTACACTGAGAAATTGGTTCTTAGGCACCTCTAGAAAGTGCTCACCAAATTTGAGCTCTTAATATTAATATGAAGATCCTCTTCATCACAGTTCCATTTTTTCTTTAGTCCATTATATCTTTATAGATGTAGAAAATTGAATGCTCTACAAAATAGGACCGATGTGTTTTAAATTAAGCGATACGATAATATTTAAAAGATATTCAAGATCAAAGTTTAAAGAATATATAAAATTTTTTTTTAAATAATATTGTAGGAAATTTAACGCTCTACAAAAAAGTTCTGATGGGAGATTCCATGATTATTAACGGGACAAAAAAAAACGAGACAAAATGTTTTTCTTACTACCTCGACTGAAAATACGTTGTTTCGTCCCCGATTTCACGGCAGAAAGTTTACGTTTCTTGCATTGGTCAAGCTATACGCGCACACTCTATAATAGCGGGAGTAAAAATTTTTTAGTCGTGTGCTCAACATATGCAACTCTGATTACGACACTAATATAACCTCAAAATTTGGGCAGGCATCAATATGTTTCGATATACACATTTAATTTTTCCCGTATTTTCGGCCGAGGTAGTAAGAAAAATAGTATACACTACACGGGCAGAAAGTGTGAGAGCCCTGAACTGCGCGCCACGATGCCCTCGGCTTCGCCTTGGGTATCATGGCGCGCAGTGCAGGAATCTCACACTTTCTGCCCTTGTAGTGTAATATACTATTAATAAAATTTATGAATATTTTTGAAGAAGGTTGTTCCTATGACAATAATTTTATGATGGTTATTATTACTTAACTTTATTGCTGAGAACTATCATAAAATTATTATTATAGGAACAACACATCTTTAAAAAATTTCATAAAACAGTTTGTTTTCTTTCTGTTGGTCCCGTTAGTAATAATGAAATGTGTTTAATTGATTACTCTAACCGTGGAGTAGATATTCGTATCCGAATCCCAATGCGTACTGATACGAATATCTTCTCAACGGTTAAAGTAATCATAATTTCAATTGAACACATCAGACCTTTTTTGTAGAGCGCTATTTCCTACAAAAATACGTCATACTCATTTAAGAATAACTATTTTTCAATGAGTTACAAAATTATTAAATAAAAATTGTTTTAATAAATTCTAAGTTTGATCTTGAATATCTTTTAAATGGTTAGAGTAATCGCTTAAACACATTTGTCCTTTTTTGTGGAGCATTCAATTTCCTACAAAAATATGTATAAACATTTAATTAAACAATTGATTAATAATGTAATATGGTCTTTTATAATCGACTAAAGAAAAAATGGAAAATTGTGATGAGAAGAATCTTCCTATAAATATTAGCTCAAATTTGGTGAGAACTTTCTAGAGGTATTCAATTTTTTTAATCACCCCACTGGACAAGCATTTTTAATTTTTTTACGTAATATCTGAGAAAACCAGGATAGAAACTTTTCATTGGCTCACCCTGTATGTATGAATATGTAACTTGAACTCTTTCTCTCTTTAACAGTTCAATAATATTATGTCCAATCACAAATCAACTTGGACGAAGTTGACTATAATACCAGCATAAGGATATCTTTATGCAGTGGTAATATCAAAAATGAACTTTTTTTCAATTTAAATCGAACAAAAATTGTTCGCGAAACAGCACCTTGAACTTTAAAGTGTCGAATTTTTACTAAAAAGACGATTTTATTTCGTTAAAAACAGGGAGTTTAAGGGAATAATATTATAAATGTGTTTTTTCTTTCAGTTAAATTATTAACTCAATGATCCTTGGTTAAAGGATTTGATTAAGAAAATATTTGTACAAATTTGAATGTTTGCATATAATTTTTTTTTACAATACCTATCTCTAAAACAAATGCTAATTGCGCAAAATTATGTGATTTTAGGAATCAGCGCTATGGCGCGCCGTTTTGCTATTTAATTTAAATTGAACAACTTTATGGTTGAATATAGTAAATGTTTTAATGTAACGTTAATTTTTACAATAGTCTGCTTGTTTTTAAATATATCGTTATATATGTTGCAAAAATTAACGCAACACTTTAAGAGCAAGAAAGTTATTTTGACAATTCATTTAATAAATTTATCAGATATTTAACGAAACTCCAAAAATTAATTTAAACAAAGAAAGTCTACAAAAATAGATGTGTTCTCTAATGCAAAAATTAAATAAAATTTTAGCGACAACTTATAACTTGGTTTTGGTAACACTCGACTATTGCAAGAATTAATTCTTACAATAGGCAGGTATTGTAAAAATAAAAACAATTGTTCAAATACCAATATTTTAAGATTAATTATTGCAACACTCATATATTGTACAAAATATTTTTTGCAACACTTATGTATTGCTATAATTAAAACAACTATGATTATTTATTACAATTTTCATTGTCGAATATTGAAACAATTGCTAAAAACACGTTTGAATTTTTACAATACCCGAGTATTGTAATAAATGTGGTAGACCTGTGTTGCATAAAATAATTCCCCCATAATTCCCTAAACAAAATTGGAACAACACTTATGTTGGCAATGCTGATAATCGACCATGGTAAACATAACCTTACTATTTCCGTTTTGTAGACAACGTGCGATATTGAGGTTAGCTAGGAAAACTGCGAACTAAAAAAGTAGTAAAAATGGTTAAAAGACTACGAAAGTGTTGTGGTCAGAGGTGCAGTGATAAAACAATCTGTACAGATATACTAACAAAATATACTTATTATACAATATCACACTTATGCTTGCTGTATGTTATATTACATAACTACACAAGGACCAGCCTTGAGACAAGGTCTAATTTAATGATTTTCCTGCAAGTTTTTAGGCATCGGTTAATAATAATTTTAGCTGGCTCAATTACCCTTAACAAAAATTATCATAAAGATAATATCCATGTAAGAACTAGTAGGTTCGACAATACCTATAGATACCAAAAAATTCTTAATATTTTTATCTGGAACAACTGCAATGATAGTACAAATACTTTTACAAATACTTTTAACCAAATTAACATGATTTGCGAAGTCGCAAAACATGGTGAACATAGACTTCGTAGACTACATTACGTAGTCACAAATTAATTTTTCCCCCTTTTTTAAGAACCATTAAATACGCTAATAAGAAAAACTAATAAATTGGATATCTAGGTTTTTATTAAACACAAAAATACAAAGTGTATGTATTAAGTAGGTACTTAATTTTTAATAAATATTTATTTGTTATTATTTTATTATTTCCGGAAAAATTTACTTTTTGACCATTAAAATATACCTACTTAATTTAATTATAAAAGTCATACACAGTAATTTAATAATTAAATAATTTTTTTTATAACCAATGATTTTTAAATTGTTGTTATTAATTTGGAAATGTTAGAATACTTAAATTATTCAGTTATTGGTTTTTAACATTGCTTTAAAAGAGTTTAAATAGTAAAACGCCCTTCAATAGAATTCTGTAAATTTTCAAGTACCTATATCTACCCAGGAAATTTAAATTAATTTTAATATAATTATTTATAGCAAATGTGGTTTGAAAAACAAGTAATATTTTAAAACAGTATATTATATGGATTATTAACAAATAAAAACCGTAACAATAAATTATTTAACAGTTAATTATATGGTTTATTCTATAAACCATATGATTAAGCTATAAACTTTATAGCTTTGGTGATAAAAAACAAGTAGTAAAATTATAGAACATTAACAATTAACTAAAGAATAACAATACATTATTTAACGGTTAAATTTTAACCCTTTGTGGCTGAACCTATTTTTTTAAATTTATTATACAGGGTGTTTAGTTTATTATCGCATAACTTTAATACACAGAATCTGTGATTTATAGGCAAGGACAACAGGAAACTCTTCTCTTTTGTTTACTTTTTTGATTTTCTTAACTTTTAAAACTGGACTACCATCTTTGGGTGTTAAGGGAACAGCTCTTACATCTCTAACAGGCAGGTTTTTGAAAATTTCCATAAAAAATATATGTATAAAAAAATTATGGTATTAATTCTTTTAATACAATTTTTCACTTTTTCCAGAGCCATGTGTGGTTTTAGAGAGAAAATAGCAATGTTATGATGGGGGTTCATTATAATCTAAAAATAAATTGAACATAAATTACTGTCCTATTTTCTATTTAAAATTCAAAATTAGAAATTATTCATAATGATTACACTGGTTAAATAAAAACTACTTTTTTGGTTAAAAACTTTGTTTCATACCATATTGTATTATTAAAATACCATCCTAAAATTTTATGTAATATTCTAAACAGTTTTTGAAATTTTTGATAAAAACCAAAACAAAAAGATATTAAAAACCAAGCTTTTGGAGATAAAATTAGCCCAAGAATAAGAACATAACATTAAGTAACACCGTTGAGTGAAGAAGCTATTGATGAATGATCATACATGTTGGAAAGGTATACCTTTGTAGGGGTCCTGATTCCTCTTCTTCTTGGGCCATCAGCTTCCCATTTTTTATTCACTCAACCCACGAAGACTCTTTGTGTCCAACAACTTTGTTTGTTGATATGGCATTTGCCATTGGCAAACCTATAAATAAAAGCTTATATTAGCTTCGTTTTTCTGTGTTTATAGAAACCACCGATCATAAAGGCCTAGATATCTATGCATAAAGGTGATAAAAACCAAAATTTACAAATTTATATATATTCCATTATAAGTTTTTCTGATTTGAACAGGCAAACGAACAAACATTGTAGATAATCACGTAAAAGGTACTTACCCTGGCGAAGTTTTATCACTGCACCTCTGACCACAACACTTTCATAGTATTTTAACCATTTTTAGTTCGCAGTTTTCCTAGCTAACCTCAATATCGCACGTTGTTTACAAAACAGAAATAGTAAGGTTATGTTTACCATTTTTAACAAGATGGTCGATTATCACCATTGCCAACATAAGTGTTGTTCCAATTTTGTTTAGGGAATTATGGGGGAATTATTTTATGCAACACAGGTCTACCACATTTATTACAATACTCGGGTATTGTAAAAATTCAAATGTTAAATTACTTGTCTAATGTAATTTTAGCAATTTTTTCAATACACGACAAGGATAAATGCGATAAAAAGTCATTGTTGTTTTAATTATTGCAATACATAAGTATTGTAAAAAATATTTTGTACAGTATATGAGTGTTGCAATAATTAATATTAAAAACTTGGTATTTAACAATTGTTTTTATTTTTACAATGCTAGCCTATTGTAAAAATTTATTCTTGCAATAGGCGAGTGTTGCCAAAAACCAAGTTATAAGTTGTCGCTAAAATTTTATTTAATTTTTGCATTAGTGAACACATCTATTTCTTCGTTTTAATTATTTTTGCAGTTCTGTTAATTACCTAAAACTACAAATTCAACAGATGATAAATTTTATTCAATTTGTGCCAAGGTATTGCTATTATTTCTGTATTATATTATATATTGTAAAATTTTATACAAAGTCCTGCTTCAAATTGGTATTCATTTAAACAAAGTAACTTTAAACAGAACTAACAGTGGAATAATATTAAATATTAATTTGGCGCGTGTTTCTGGTGCGCCGTTTTACATTTTATTAAAGCAATATGCTAGATACATTAAATAGCAAAAGGGCGCGCCATACAGCGCACCTAAATATGGTAATTTATTACCAATTTTTGTACAACATTAGTGACAAGACATTATTGACTATATTTTTTAAGCAAGTCGATGGTGTTTTGTGGATGCCAATGGACCTCTTTACCTGGCTTTTGCGATAAAGGATATCCGATATAAGTTTTGGGGATGAGTTCGATTATCTTCAGGCAAATGCGTTGGCGCACATTACACACCCACAATATCTGATAACATTAAATGATAACTTATCAGCAGTTTAACTAGGATACAATTTATTTATACTATAAACTAAACAAAATCGCAAAAAATAATCAATGACCAATGGACATTGACCATAGATCAAATGGTGTTGCCAAGTTCAAATGTAATGCGTTTTACAGTTTTTATATACATACGTCTATTTATTTTAATTACCGTATTATAAATATTTCAGAAAGTGTTTTTATTATTTTATTTTACAACTTACAACTTAAAAAATTACGTTGCATGTTAAACAATGTTCTCTAAAAGCAATAGTAAATGTAATAATAATAATTAAAGCAAATTTTCATTTATCTCAATATTATACATACAAAAAAGACGGACCACATATAAAAAGATTAATCAGAATTTAAAAAAAATACTATAATCATGCACAACATAAATAATTTCTTACTTGAACTAATATGAAAATTACGGAAAGAAAAGGGAACCAATACACCACCTACGCAAATTATACAATTAACATAATCTCCATAATTAAGGGCGTTGTTTTTATATACAGGTTGTTTTTTTGAAAGCAATTTTGATCCTAATCAATAGCCAAACCATGCACTTATGTAAAGACAAAAATAATTATTAATTATCATTTCTGATAAAAATTTAATAGTTGATTTTTGTCAATACATAAAGATAATTTTGAGTTTCTAACACAAAAAAACGTAGCCGATTATATTACCTTCAACTTTAGTATTTTGTTATACTTAAGTATATATATCCAGTTTATTTGGCCGAATGAAAAGAAATATAAAATTTTAACAAGGTTTAATAATTAGTTTGCATTATGCCATTATAGGAGAAAATACAAGCTTCTCTTCAAAAAATTACTTGCATTGCAATTCGATAGTTTTCCAAAGCACATTGTTTATGTTGTTCAGGTGAAAAAATATCGAGTTACAAAACAAGGGGTTATTTTAATAGAAACAATATACTTACTTGACAGTTGGCTAATATTGTCCGCGCTTCCGAATTTATTTTTGATTAGGTGCGCAAATTCCCTGGGTTTTGACATTACAGATCCACTGAATCCTGTGATACCATCACGGATGTTACCACCAACATTCCTAAAATAAATTGAAAAAATAAATAAAATTGATGTATTAAACACAAGTTTAATATACAAAAAAGTTTCTGAATTATGGCATAAAATACTCACTTTAATCCCTGTCCCATATCTCTGAGCACCTCCCTGGGCGGTCTGTGGCTCTGTGTAAGCCCGTGCGTTTCCAGCTCGTTGACACGTTTTTGATACGAGTCCAGCTTCTTTTGCAACTGGGAAATGACTTGTGCACTTTTCTGGTTCTTCTTTTCGAACACGGCTTTGATCCGTTGAACTTGTTGCTTATCGGCATTCGAGGCTAATTTTAGGTATTCGTTTACATTGTCTGCAAAAAAAGTATTTGTTTTTGTTATACACCTAAAACCAATGATATATGCAAAAACAATCACAAACAGGATGAAATATTTATAATTATACTTGGACAAATTATATTGGAATTTAAATTAATATTTTTGTTTAATTGAATAAGGATTAAAATTTAATAAAACCTTTTTTTTTCACAAATAACATAAATTGAATGATTTAAAAATAGTTTAATTTTTAAATGATTTTGATTAGAAGTTTAAATACAACAATAAAGTATAAATATGTTCTATACCTCTAAACGATTAGTGTAGTTTTGAATATATAAGTTTAAAATATTTTTCTCATGGGCAGTAGGTACAAAATAGGGCAACATAATTTCACAAGATAAAAACATTTTGAATTCTATGCTATGGCAATATCAATTTTAATTAAAATAAAATTGTCGCTGCTTCTTTCCTTATTTTTTATGTTATTTTTGTCAAGATACAACATTTTTATCATTAAATTATTAAATATTTCGAGACTTTTCATGCATAATTTATGCATAATTTAAGCTTTTTATGTTGCATATAATTGGAGCTCTACTTATGACTGTAAGCTTAAGACAAAAATATTCTTAAGATAAACTTTAAAATGATATACTTTAAATAAAATCAAGTTGAATTTAAGGCATACAGCCATTTTTTTGTTTTAAGTATAGGCATACAACTTTATTATTTAAACTATACACATTTTCAAATGAAACAAATAGTATGCTTTAATTTTAATATTTTTAGATTCGTTTTGGGTTTTTATAAAATGTAGGTGAAATGTATTAACTAAATGATTACCTACTACTTCTGTTTGTTACCAACTATCAAATGACAATAAAAAAATAAGTGTAAATTTATCGCCTTTTTACATTTTGTTTTTTTTTTTAAATAATAAAATATTGTTAATAATGTATATTATTATTATTACATTTAAGAATCATTTTTACCAATTAGTATTTTTTGTTATTTTAGCTCGCCTTATTATAAATTCTCGGTATTTTAGGTTGTTAAAATAAATTAATTTAGCTCATCCTCATTTTACGTGCGTTTGGATTTAACGTATTTCAAATGGCTCTAGAATTGTTTAATTTTGAATATAGGTCAAATAATGGAAATTTATTAAAAAGAAGTGGGACACCTTAATTACTCCAAGTAATCACAAGGCTCATTTTAGAAAATGAAGCTCGAAAGTTATCATGAGAATCGTCAGTCCTCATGAGAATAACGTTTTTTTTGCAGACTCCGACGTTACATAGAGCTGCAGAACGCGTGGTCAGCGTTCTGGGCTTGTAGTAACATCTTGTCTCACAAGCTCCACATTTAAGTTGTGGCTTAAATCAAGCAGTTGTGCAAAAAAGATTCACCCATTCCAATTTCATGTTAAAAGATGAAACCGCGCCGCTTAATTCGCGTCTCACGGTCAGGTCTGAGTTTGCAAAGAATTCTTAACAAAGAATTTAAATTCCACTCCTATAAAATCATCAAAGTTTGAGATTTTGAAAGATAAAAACGTGATTCTCATGATGACTAATTGAGCTAATTAAGCTGTCTCACTTTTTGCAATACATTTCCATGATTACTTTTCATTTTAAAATTGACTTGACCGCTCTATCTTTAAAATTGACAATTTGAGAGCCATTCCAAATATGTAAGATCCAAACCCTTTACTATCGTCGTTGTAGGTTTGTTAATACAACGTATTTTTAGCTTGAAGTCACTTTCAGTTGTCAAACTGTTAGCACATGACTGTCGACAAGTTAAAATTACATAATATTTATAAACCCACAAGCTAAAATAAAAGTACAGGACGCAATTTTAGGTTTTCAGCTTAAAGATTGTTAGAGATATTAACTAAAGCTTATTATTATACTACTATATCGACGTGTATTTAGAAAAAGTGAAAAATATATAAAATAGAAAAAAACGTTTACCGTCTCTTAGCTTCTGTTCAGTGCGCATGAGGTCCCGCACGCGCACCATCTTGTGTCTGAGCTGTTCGAGCACCGTAACAGTTTTGTTGTCGACTCGGTCGCAGTCGTCATCGTTCGTGTGTTTCGCATGCTCCGAACTGCCGTTCGACAGGAACGACGAGTGATCGGCGTGGTCCGTGCCGCCGCCGACTGTAGTCGACGAGTCGTTGGCCAACGCGGACGCCAGCAGCAGCACGCTGTCGTCCAGCATGGACGCGTTCGAGTCGTCCATGTCGAGGGGGGCGGTCGATGTCGAGCCGCCCCCGGTCCTAGACGCACTCGTCGTCGGCGATCGGTGGCGGGACGTTCGGTGCCCGTGGCTTACCCCGCCTCCATCTTGGGACTGAAACAACAAAGAAAAAGAATATAAGGACTTGTTGTGATGTGATGTGGAATGAGAAATTCGCCCACACGAGCGAAAGCGGGAAAAAGCGAATTATCGTAAAATAAAGGGTCGAGAAGCAGGTAGGAAGAAACCTGATGACAACTTTTCAGCTATAATTTTGCACTTAAGTCACGTCATAAAGGCGACCGAAGATGCCTGAAGACAGATAAAAAGTTTGAGGCAGTAGGAGAGAACGAAGTACTCTCAAGTAAGAACTACAAACATTAATTTTTATAACAGAATTTTTGTCAGAGGAGACTTATTTAATAAAAATAATAGCTCAAAATCAAACAGAATGGTTTTGTAGTAGATTCAAGTAGTGAAAAAATGTTGTTTAGCAATACAAACAAACTTTATGTTAAGACGAAACAAATTTAGAGAAAATTAAAGTCCTAATTATAGTAATAAAGTTTTACGTTAGTTACCTTTTTTACTACACTAAGGGAAGGTTTATCAATCTCTGGTTAAGTCCCAGTTAGTCTCTCTGACAGTTAAATTCCATATCGGTCGTTGTGAGAACAATGGTATACATGGAAACTAACTTCAACTTTAGCTGGACATTAATAAACCGTCCCTAAGAAATCTTTTTGTCTGGGCTAGGGATAAGAAAAAAGGATTGAAATGGAAAACATAAATAATTTATATCCACTTAAGATGAGGATAAAATGAAATTTTATTAATTGTACTATTGAAGTGAGATATGTACATATTTGTAACAATTCTGTTTCGTGAATTGTTAATGCTAAATCATTTACAAAATAAAATAATATTGTAAAATTTTAATACATACATTCACGCTAAAGGTAAACATTGCCGAGTGCTGAGTGTATCCGAACGCAAGGAAGGATAGTGGGGACACCGCAGTTCGCTGTTCAAGCATTATTTGGGTATATCAATGATATAATATCATTTGTAAGCAAAATAATGCTCGAACAGTGCATACCCTCCATCTATCAAGGTGCTCGGATGCACTCGGAACTCATAACTGTATACCTTTCACACATCTAAATATGCGATACCTTTAGGGTGTAATAGGGTTTTTTTTTATAGATAGTACTATTAGGTATATATATATATTACTAAACAGGAAAAAACTATATTATATTCATATTCATTAGACAATGAATTTGATCATACCAAATAATAACATAATGAAATATTAACACTAATGACAAAATAAATATTTAAATGTAATTACTTCGAAAAATTAATTTTATTAATTTTGTAATGTAATTTTCCAATTTAAATATTAATTGAAAATTTCATACCAATTATTTTTAAATAAGTATTAAATATAACTAATTTAGTAGTTTTAGATTCTAGATAAATTTAGTACACGTGCTCATTCAATATCTTTAATGTAAAAATAAATAAAATAAACATTTATTTTTAAATAAAAGATTAATTATTTAAAAAAAAGTTAAAGGTAATAATACTTCAATAATGTAACACGGTGTTAGAATATGAAATAGATACCTCAAATATCGCCAATAAATAATATTTGTTAACAATCTAAATGTAAATGCCTGTTCGTCTATGTATAAAGTTTATAAATTTAACGATTGCATATTTATATAAAATAAAATATACGGAAATTTTAATTAAATTCTTAACATTGGTTGCATTTATATATATATATATATATATATATATACGAGGTGTGTTCAGAAAATAACGGGAATTGTTAAATTTCGCGGGTTCGAAGGGTCCGGTTGTCATAAAAAATGTATCAAAGAATTTGTATCCAATTTTGCTTAAAAAATTAAATAAATTCTGTGAAATTTTAACAAAGGCCTATAGTGATTCTGCTATAAGTAAAACAAGAGTTTACAAGTGGTATAAGAGTTTCCAAGATGGTCGTGAAGACATTGAAGATGACGAACGCCCCGAACGCACAATCACATTAACAACCGATAAAAACATGGAAAAAGTGAAAGAAATGGTTGTAAACCATCAGAGAAGTCGCTGATGATGTTGGTATATCGATTGGCTCATCCCATGAAATTTTTTGGGTATGAAACGCGTGGCAGCCAAATTTGTTCTAAAATTGTTAAATTTTGAACAAAATTTTTGGCCAAAAACAATACTGTAATGATGCCCCAGCCTCCATATTCGCCAGACTTTTTCCTATTTCCAAAAATAAAGAGAACCTTAAAGGGCCGTCGTTTTGCAAGCATAGATGACATAAAAAGCGCATCGCTAAAAGAACAAAAGGCTATCCCAAAGATCGAGTTTTAGAAGTGTTTCGAGTATTGGAAGAAGAGCTGGCACATGTGCATAATATCCAATGGGGACTATTTTGAAGGCGACAACATTAATGTAGACGAATAATTAAATATTTGTTTCAAAAAACGAAAATTCCGGATATTTTCTGAACCCACCTCGTATATATATATATAATATAACATAACCCTAAACTTGAATAAAATATACCTAACCGTACATTTTTAATGGCTTCGATAACTATGCACAATTTGATGATTTGCGACGACAATCGCACGATATATGTTAATAATGGATTTGATCAACTTAAATTCACTGAACGGTAAATAATCGTATCTGTTCATTGCAATCGTGCCGTCACAACTAACAACAACTTTTTCAATCTTTGACATGTAGTGCAGTTGACGAACGAATACGGCTCGTCCTTCCTGTTGTTATTGTTATTATTGTTAGTGTTGCCGTATTATTATTTTATTATTATATTTGCGAGCACGGCCGCGGACGAACATCATTCCATCTCGTCGTCAGCTGCACCGCGATGCCGGCCTGCGACTGCGGAGGCAGGAGTGCGGCGCTCAAATCAAAGGGGACCGAGCACGTACAGTGGGAATAAAACTGTGTCAAAGCGTTCCAAACATCAATGAAATACAAATAGTAAAGCGATGCTTGTTAAAAATTTTGATTAATTTAAATATTGTAAAAAGTGGCGAATGCACCGGGGTTAAATGGTTTTTACAGACTATGATGTAAAAAACTTCACCTGATTGGTCTTATTTATTTTTTTTGCCTAGAACTAGTTAACAAAAATAAATCTTAAAATATAGAACGCTTAAAGATAAATAAAATTGCATGTATCTGGGGCCACACCAAATTATTATTTTTTTGTTTCTAATATTGCACGATTAAAACCAGTAAAATTGTTTATTTTTTAATCAAATGGATCAGATTTTCTCTAATTATAATTATCATGATTATGATTTTTATCTTCATTTAAGGTAGTTGTCGTGCTGTAGGCATACCATCAGAAAATTGTAAATTTTTGTATACTTATTAGAAAAATTAAGAATGTTAGTTTTTTGAAAGCTTCTGACTGTTAGTTTTTTGAAAGCTTCTGACAGTTAGTTTTTTTTATAACTAAGAAACTGGTACAGAACTACAGAAAGCGTATACAATCCATGTTATTTATCCAATTTTTAATTGAATTTATCTCGGGTTATAGTCGGTCAATCGACTTCAAATTTTAAGGATAATTGTATTGTCATGTCCTTAATGTTTTTTTGCTGAGTTTTATAAATAACCGTTTAAAGTTCAACAATTAGTAAAAAAGTATACATACTAGTGAGTCAGATAAAACAGCTTGGCAACGCTGTACGCGAGTATAGATATTATTTGGGCAGTAAATTCAAACAGAATGATTCAGTATCCAATATATCTATTGGTTGCGCATAAGCGACGTTGCCGGATTAAAACATATGAAAATATGTGAAAGTATTACGTATAGGTAACGTCTCCAAGGTACAGTCTTGCGAAAAAATTATGAATCACTTACCTAAAAGCTCGTATACTTTTACGGTGCGTATAATCTAAAATTTTTTGACAATATTGTACCACGATAACTACCTTAAATCCAACCCTGATTTGTGAGTAATAATTCTGAAACATTTATTAAATTTGGTTTGTTTTTCACATTTTGCGCCCTAAGCCCGCGCCTCACCGGCCTAGTGGTAATCAACCCAAGCGACAGGAACATCAATAGATTTTAATTTTTGGTTTATTATTAAAAAAATCGATACAAATGACTTTTAATGACATTTAAAGCAGTAACCTTGGGTAATACATAAGGAAGTTAATTTAAATTTAGCAAATTAAATGTATACATTTTTGGTCGGGGTTTATATGTTTTTACATAATATTTTTTAGTTCTATCTAATATTTCATGAATGAAAACTGATGACACATACCCAATCAAGGAAACAAATCTCTGATTGTGAGTAACAAATTAGTATAGGCTTAAGCAACGAACAAATAGTTTCAAAACAATAACAAAAAATCCTAGAACGTTAGTCATATGATACTTTACATACAAATTGTATAAGAATAAATTTATAAGACATAGTTTTCCACTTACTCACTAAATTTAACTATACATTCTTTAAAAGCAATACATAACACAAAGACAAACTGAAAACTCGGCATAACACAACATATTTTATTTCATAACCGACACACTTAAAATATTCGCGAAAATATAAATAGTCTAGTTTGTGCGCCAACGACATTGGCTCTTTGTTGTAGTGAAAATTCGCAAATTCTATTCGGATGCGGGCTTAGGAACGGTTCAAGGGTCGCATTAGCCGCATAAACGACTTTAAACGTGCGCTGTTATTACACACGTACCTACATATTATGCATATTACACTAAAAATGGACGTAAATAAGCGTATCTTTTGGAATATTGCCATTTTATTCGGATAACTCAATTAAAATTACGAACCACGGGAATGCTAAATTAACCCCCTTTTTAAACTGCACTACCCAACAAAATTATAAACTTTTTTAAGAAAATTGCCTCAAATTAAGGCAATCCAATTGTTTATATTTTTTTTATATTTTAGTTCTAAAGGGTCATACAAGAAGGAAGTTATATTTCGAACTGCGCATGGCGTTCTTTGCAATTATGATATTATGTAGCTGGAAGTGTCACGGAGCTTATGTCTCTTTCTACCGTACTTGGACTCTTTTGCGCATGTTGCATTAAATTGAAGGAACTGCAGAACGGGTCAACGTTCCTTATTCTAAGTGACGTTTTGATATTCGTTCAATTCAATTCCCTGTCATGCGCCTCCGAGTACGATAGAAAGAGACACACATATATGTCTGCACCAGCGCTGCCAATGTGTGGGGAATTCCCCAAAATGCAGGGAATTTTGCATTGTTGCGGGTAATGTGTGGGAAATTTAATAGTGTGGGGAATTTCGGGGAATTTAGTTTA